TCCTTGGAATATATCCTAGAGAAATAAGAGCCATCACACGAATAGATATATGCACACCCATGTTCATTGCAGCACTGTTCACAGTAGCAAAAAGATGGAAACAACCTAGGTGCCCATCAGTGGACAAATGGAGAAACAAATTATGGTATATCCACACAATGGAGTACTACACAATGATAAAGAACAACGATGAAGCCGTGAAACGTAACGTGGAGGAAGCTGGAGGTCATTATTCTGAGTGAATTTAGTCAGTCACAGAAGGACAAATATTGTATAAGACGACTATTATAAGAACTCAAGGAAAGGTTTAAACACAGAAGAAAACATTCTTTGATGGTTATGAGGGTGGGGAGGGAGAGTGAGGGTTATTTACTAACTAGATAGTAGATAAGAATTATTTCAGGTGAAGGGAAGGACAGCACACACTACAGGGGAAGTCAACACAACTGGACTAAACCAAAGCTAAGAAGTTTCCTGAATACAACCAAACACTTTGAGGGACAGAGTAGCAGGGGTGGGGGTCTGGGGACCATGCTTTCAGGGGACATCTAGGTCAATTGGCAGAAAAAAGCTTATTAAGGAAATGTTCTACATCCTATTTTGGTGAGTGGCGTCTGGGGTCTTAAAAGCTTGCAGGTGGCCATCTAAGATGCATCAATTGTTCTCAACCACCTGGAATAAAGGAGAATGAAGAACACCAAAGATACAAGGGAAGTATTAGCCCAAGAGACAGAAAGGGCCACATAAACCAGAGACTTCATCAGCCTGAGACCAGAAGAACTAGATGGTGCGTGGCTACCACCAATGACTGCCCTGACAGGGAACACAACAGAGAGTCCCTGATGGAGCAGGAGAAGGGTGGGGTGCAGAACTCAAATTCTAGTAAGAAGACCAGACTTGATGGTCTGACTGAGATTGGAGAAACCCCAGAAAGCATGGCCCCTGGATTCTGTATCAGTCCAGAACTAAAAAAATATCCGAGGTCAACTCTTCAGACAGGGATTGGACTGGACCATGGGACATAAAGTGATACTCGTGAGGAGTGTGCCTCTTAGCTCAAGTAGATACAAGAGACTGAATGGGCAGCTTATGTCTGGAGGTGAGATGGGAAGGCAGAGAGGGTTAGGAGCTGGTTGAATGGACATGGGGAATTGGGTGGAAAGGAGGAGTATGCTGTCACAGCATGGGGAGCAATTAGAGTCACATAACTATGTATAAATTTTTGTATGCGGGAAAAAAGAAAATATCACCAGCATTTGGAAAGCCCCCTTGAATCCCTTCCCTGTTACTGCAGCCCCAAAGGTAATCATTCTCCTTCTAACACCACAGATTCATTTTGACGGATTCATCATATGATTCATCATAATTTTATATGAATAAAATCATTCAGTATGTTAAAAAAAAAAAAGATTATAGCAAAGAAAACCCTATGGAACTGTTCTACTCTGTAATACGCGAAGTCACCATGAGTTGGAATCAGCGTGATAGCAACTAACAACAAGCATAGATGTGTTTTCCTTTATAAGAAACTGCCAAAACATTCTCCAGTGTGGTTGTATGAGTTTACACTCCTACCAGGAAAAAAAAAAAAAGAGTTGCTTCCCCTTTTCACCTACATTTAGTGTTGTTAGTCAGTTTTTATTGTAGTCATTCTAGTGGGTATAAAGTGGTATCTCATTGTAGTTTTAATATGCATTTCCCTGATGACTAATGTTGAGTAGCTTTTCATTTGATTTTTGGCTATTCATATGTGTTCTTTTGTACAGTGTCTGTTCTAATATTTTGCCATAAAAAAAAATCATGTTGTTTGTTTTATTGTTGAATTGCAAAAGTTCTTTAATTTGGAAACCTTTCTCATATATATGAAAATATGTGAATATTTTCTCCCAATCTGTGGCTTGCCTTTTCATTTTCTTCATAGTATTTTTTGATAAGCAGTAAAAAATAATTTTAATGAAGTCCAGCATATCAGTTATTTCTTTAAGGTTAGTGGTTTTTTTGTGTCTTAAGAATTATCTTTATTTGTCTCAAGGTTTTGAAGATTTTTTCCTATGTATTTTTTTTTATAGAAGTTATATAATTTTAGCATTTACAGTGAGGTCTATAAGCTATGTCAGATTAATTTTTTAGTTTAAAATGAAGTAGATATCAAAGTCCTTTTTTTTTTCCATGAGGATATCCAGTTGTTCCATCACCATTAGTTAAAAAGTCTATCATTTCCTCATTGACAAAACTTAGCATCTTCCGCAGAAATCAATTGACTGTATATGTGTGGGTCTATTTCTGGACTCTTCTGTTCCACTGATCTTTTGTCTTTCCTTAAGCCAGGATGGCATAGTGCTTAAGAGTTCAGCTTTTAACCAGAAGGTCAGCAGTTCGAATCCACCAGGCGCTTTTGGAAACCCTATGAGACGGTTCTACTCGGTTCTATAGGGTCACTATGAGTCGGAATCAACTCGATGGCCGTGGGTTAAGCCAGTATAATGCTGTCTTTTTTTTTTTAAATATTAAAAAAAATTTTTAAATTGGACTTTAGATTAAGGTTTACAGGGCAAACTAGCTTCTCATTGAACAATATTCATATTGTTTTGTGACATTGGTTACCAGTCCCACAATATGTCAACACTCCCCTTCTCTACCTTTGGTTCCCCATTACTAACTTTCCTGTCCCCTCCTGCTTTCTCCTTCATGCCTCTGGGCTGGTATGTCCATTTAGTCTTTTTTTGTTTTATTGGCCTGTCTAATCTTTGGCTGAAGGGTGAACCACAAGAGTGACTTTTATAGCCTCTGTCTGACCAGTAAGTCTGGATTTTTTGTTTGTTTTTGTTTTTTGTGAGTTAGAATTTTTTTCTACATTCTTCTCCAGCTCTGTTCAGGACCCTCTGTTACGATCCTTGTCAGAGCAGTCAGTGGTAGTAGTCGGGCACCATCTAGTTGTGCTGGACTCAGTCTGGTGGAGGCCGTGGACTAATCTTTCCCTTGTGTCTTTGATTTTCTTCATTCTCCCTTGCTCCAGATTGGGTGAGACTAGTGGAGAATCTTAGATGGTCGCTCACAAGCTTTTAAGACCCCAGACGCTACTCACCAAAGTAGAATGTAGAACATTTTGTTTATAAACTGTTATGCCAGTTGAGCTAGATGTTCCCCAAGATCATAGTCCTCACAGCCCTCAGCCCGGTAATTTGGTCCCTCAAGGAGTTTGGATGTATCTATGGAGCTTCCATGACCTTACTTTGGACAAGTTGTGCTGGCTTCCCCAGTATTGTGTACTGTCTTAACTTTCACAAAAGTTACCATTTATCTATTGTCTATTTAGTGTTTTTCCCTCCCGACCCCTCCCCTCCCTCTTTTCTTCCCCACCTGTCCCCTCCCTCATAACCATCAAAGATTGTTTCTTTGTGTGTGTAAGTCTTTTCATGAGTTTTTACAGTAGAGGTCTCACAGAGTATTTTCCTTTTGTGATTGACTTATTTCACTCAGCATAATGCCCCCCAGATTTATCCATGTCGTGAGATGCTTCGCAGATTCATCATTGTTCT